CCTTTTCTGTAATTTAATAATTGTATATAAGGTGTTTCTTTATTTCCAAGTCAATAATATGCCCGCTGTTTCCTTTTTGATCATTGAGGGTAGTAGTTGTATTTCTAACCCTACCCATGTGTGTAAAGTTCTTCACTTAGAGCGATGTAATTATTATCAACATTTCCAAGTCTTTTTCATTTATGGGGCTATAATTATTCAAGATTGTGGTATTCCAGTCCAGTTCAATCTAATCCGTATATTTTGCAGTAAGAAATTAAACGTCTTCCAATTACATTCTCGGTAATTCTATGTCCCCTTGGAATGACGCGCATGGGCTGGGTGAATAAAACATTTTATTTAAAATCCACAAGATAAGATCTGACAGTTGTACGACTAGATCAGTTTGAAAAATGTTTTCACAACCGATTATTCCAAAGAACTCAGGCGTGAGCTGTTGAATTAAAGACAAGATAAGAGACGCAACGTATTACTCATAATGCATAAAAAGTAGAGAAATTCCGGATTGAATCTGCGATTACTTCGGAAGTAAAGGTGACGCGGACATTTGCACTGATAAGAAATGCGGTGGGAAGGAAACAATGAGCAAGTCAAATCATATCAAGTCAGCGGTAGCTTTATGCACCCGGAGAGTTGAGTTTTCAGCATTTCATACTTCTGTATGCAAATTAAAATAAAGCATAATATGAAACTGAAAGTAGTAGATATCGTCTATGTCAATGAAGCAAGCAATGACGTAACTCTGTGGAAACATTACCCTTTTCAACAAGTAGACGTGCGATAAATGGCAAAAGAGAAATTAAGATAGGAAGAGATATGTACCAATAAATGTTTGAACTTTAAACCTGTGGATAACGTAGATACAGTTTTTGAAATTTCGTTGTGTAAGGGATGATGAGTTTCTGAGATTATTTTTGCAATAAAATTTCCATATGCTTATAGTAGTTTGTCTATGATAGCGCCCACAAGTTTATCTCTGATGATACCATCACATTGAGAGATGTATTTTAGAGATCTCGCCAGTAAATAAGTCGTTTTACAGCAAACCGAAGAAAATCGCTGGGGAGCAGTATAACCAGAAGGGGAGGGAGCCACTCATTCATTCGCAAACCTAACAATCAGCTTGTGGGGTAAAGAGGATTTTTCTAATCAGATTGCAAAATATGAAGGCTGTATAACTTTAAAGAATGTGTTCTGAACTTACAATGAGCATGGCACATCGTGTGATAGTTTGACGTCGAGGCATTTTTATCAGTGTTGATGTCTGTAGGGGTTCATAATTGGTAGAGAAGCGTTCAATGAGACGGAACGAGATAAGGACCAAATAAAGCCGTTTAGTTTCATTTGAAGGGGTGTATGCTTCACTTACCAAAACAAAATCATCTGCTTATTGACAACTAATGAATGTGGAAGAAATAGAAAATTGTTTGACGTACATTAAAAAGAACGGGGAGAATTTACACCTTGCAGAACGGCAGAAGCAACTGGGCGGGTGGAAGGTTTCTTACCGCGGAGGCACGTGAACTGCATTCTATTCATGAAATAACCGCTAATCAGTTTGTCAGCGTTTGCATTACCCCCTTTTTCGGTAATAAGGTTGAGTAATACCGATCGAGGAGAGTTGCCTAATGTGTTTTTGTAGTCTAGGAATAGCGCTCTGACGGTCTTACACTTCCTATCTAGTACCGAAAGTAGTAAGTGGTCAAGGTAAGCAACGGCATCAATTGTTTCGCGCGAACAGTGATATGCAAATTGATATATATCATCTTCGGCAGATTAAGTGATGACCCAAATAACTTGAGTATGCCTGACGTGCGGACGACGAGTTGCTAATTCCCATGTTCTTTTGGGGGACAGGAGTTATCTTGGTAAGTCTCCAAATATCAGAAATGTTTCCCCTGAGCAGACAGCGATTGGATTTGTTAGGTTGCGGGACTGAAAGTGTGTCCACACGCACCTTGAGTAGTTGATAGTTGATCCGATCCAGATGCTCTATTCATCTTCCTTTTCCGTAGGTGTTGGAGAACTGTGGCAGATTCGATATTTGGTGGTGTATAGCTGACCAAGTCTGGCAACTTAAACAAACTAGAAACTGAGTGTTTCAACGTCAACAGTTTCCCTTTTTTGTTTATTGATACTGCCACAGGCGATCAATGCCTCTCCAAATGCCTCGACAACTGACGTTTTTTAAGGTAGTGTATATGGTTAATTCTTTCAAACGATTCCTTTCAGATTTGATCAAAATTATGAGCCGCTTGACATGGTTTTTCTATCCTTACTTTTAGTCCTCCTATATCCACCTGCTTAGCTGTTTTAGCAACAGAGATGAATATCTATATTTATGGATGAAGACCGTTTCACGTGAGCAACACTGGTTAAATCAAAATAAAGGTAGTGCACAATACATTGGCAGTGAGCAGAAGGGTTCTGATCTATAAACACCAAAACATCTGTGACGACAATCAAGGACGCTGTGATGAGGAAAGTTATATCTATAAAAATCGTTGGAAGATGTCTCCAAAGAGTCCCTTGTTCGTGCTGTGTTGGAAGTAGAAAAACTATCAGAAAACCTACTGATGTCAGATTTTGATAATGTGATTTCCAGAAAAGCGTTTACAAATAGTATGCAACAAAATCCACGTTAAAAAGAGGCTTACATTCAACAAAGTTACAACTGAATTCATTCAAGGAGTATTAGTAAACAACGTCCGTTGATTTACTTCAGGTTTTTTTTTAACGTAATTTACAAGACCGCCTCGTTTACGGACACTCGCGGGACGCTCAACCAGATACAACTTATACCTATACGGGTATACAACTTCACGGAGAATCGCTTCGTGCAACCACCATTTATGTAGCGTAATAACCCTAAGGTTGATACTCGCTTTTCGTGTGATGCCTACTATATCGTCAACTTTTCCCAACAGAGAACAAGCGTTGCGTGTTAAAATGAGAGGAATTTGCATTTGACTAGCACTGCACTATTTGAGTCCAACTTTTAAAACATACGAGATGTTTGCTTCGCCTGCCACCTTGTGTTTCAATAATGTGCTTGAACTAATATCTCGCTTTGTTGGCATGATTCACAAAATTTGTGGGTCGCACGATAGCACACATTTTATAAACTTGTTCTTATAGGATAGCATTTGGTGTCCTCAAAATTGATGAAGCTGCGATTGATGATGAATTATTCCACGAAAAATGTACACATGATTTTTTAGCTAAATGGCACTGCTAAATTCCAACACCCGGAGGGAAAAGAATTAAGCGCAGTACATTATAACCGTAACCCAAAAGGTTTTATGCCTGCTTGCACAAGCCAACAAAATATAAGGGTGAGTCTGGGCCCGTTGGAGAACGAAGAGGTTGCATAACCACATCGAGCCAAGAAAAAGTGAACACCTTCTTACCCTCTCTAAGAATTTTAGCTGATAGGTGGTCCACAGGACAGCGTTGGAGTCCGCTGCATCACGTTTAGATATATCAACGATTATTAAAACATTAAGAAACGAGATTCATATAGCCAGATAGTTGACTTCAAGTATTCCACATAAAGCTGCAGGATAGGCGTAATACAACGCGCTTTAGTTCAGCTACCAGCGGGGTTTTGGGAAATTCGGCAATCCGTTTATTTCAGCAACCTCCTAGGACGAGAGTGTTATCGAAGGACCGGCGAATAGCAATGGTTGTTGCACCATACAAGTTAGAACCTAGGTGTAATTTAATCAACTCCTGGTCATTGATTCTGACATCTGTTCTGTACACTTGCTTTTACCGGGTCATCATCTAATCATCCACAGTTTGTTGGCACCAGCTCAACACGGGTGCACTGAGAGGAAATGATATATCATTACATTGTATCAACGACTTGGCACGGGATCTCCAACTTCTCTGTTTCATATTCGCGGATGATATGAAAGTAGCCAGGTTAAATTGGAGCACGACGTAGACATGGTTAGACAATGTTCGATCAATGGGACTTGCAACTAAACCTCAAAAAGAGTCAACATTTAACAGCAACAGCTGACAGTGCCCAGAAAAGATAGCTGCCACTGCAGCTCACAGGGGAAGCAACGAATTTATGAGTCATTCTCATCAAAGGCTTCAAGCCTGAAAGACAATACCTGAAGGAAGAAAATACGACCCGTAGCTAACGTTTCAGGTTGTGTTATCCGGATACTTGTGGAAACCCAGAGGTCTTTGCTATAGTTAGTCTGCACTTAGAACATTGTGTTCAGGGATGAGCTCCATACTATAGGAAGGATATAACATGCCTGGAGAAGGTACAACGACTTGCTATCCTAATGGCCCTTGAAGCTAATCAGGATGCGATCGATGGTGAATAGATTCACAAAAACGTGTGACATAAATAGCGTTTTATTAGTTGTACAAGTGCAGTGCACAATGATTGCTGCCTTCTTCTACTGAGACATTCTAGACGACCAATGTAGCTGCTGCTCCCAACTTTAAACATGCTGTTTGGCGTGTACTGTTTCATAAACTAACCCCCCTTCAACCATCAACATCAGCACCACTGTCTACTCATAAAATTTTTACTGTATGTTTAACTGATATACTCTTTCATAATCGCTGATACCCAACAGCCGTAAGCCTATTCATGCGCGTTGTGGATCACATTTTCTGTTCATTGGATACAGTGTTGTACTTATGCAACTTGGTTTCCACTCAGGTGGTATAACAAATGATTACAATTTGTTCCATTCACACTCTCAAGAGTCCGCATGGATAAGCGTGCGTCTGTGTGCCTGCGTACACTTGCTTGCATGCAAGCGAGTATTCATGAACCTGGTATCGCACAGTGAGTTGCGAATTTTCGACGACTGGATGCAACCACAAACACAAAGTCATTCCAGCGGTTTGAAGTCAAGCGGCTAAAATCGGTCTAATCGGGGCACACTTATATAAGAGGTACCAACATTAGTTATACAGTGTACAGTTTTGAATCATTTTGATCGGGTCTACAGATAACACACAACACAATGGGTGAACGCAAAGCTGTGATCAAGAATGCGGACATGAGCAACGATATGCAAGAGGATGCCGTGCAAACAGCGGCCTATGCAATTGACAAATACCAAGTGGAGAAAGATATTGCCGCTCATTTGAAGAAGGAATTCGATCGCCGGTACAATCCAACATGGCATTGCATTGTGGGAAAGAACTTTGGCAGGTGAGTACTATCTTCTACATGCATATATCACGAGTACTGCTGCTTTGTGTGCTTGCATAATTTAACCAAATGATTGGTATCATATTGTTCAACAAAACATGATATATATATATCTATATATACTAATTCACTTCTCTATTTCCCCCTCTCATATTTTTTTTAGCTATGTGACACACGAAACACAAAACTTTATCTATTTCTACCTTCAAGATCGTGCATTTCTACTTTTCAAATCTGGTTAATCGATCCTGGATTGGAGCTATATGTGTAATCCAAACGAACCATTCATAAAGATGTTTAAAACGACAGAACCCAATATTTTTCTCTCCTGATAGAGGGAAACTGTGTACTCACTTTTCTATAAGCATTTACTTGAAAGAAATTTACATCCGTCTTCGTAAATTATTCAGTAAACAGTTCATAAGCATAAATGGTTTCAATGAAAATGAAGATTTGCTTTATCTTTAATGAAATCGATTTCATTCCGTATTTTTAAAGTTATTTTCTCAACTTTAGTGATAGTAGCTTTCTGAAGCCCAATGGTGTGAAAACAACAGTAACGCCAGGTAAAAACTGCTTTCGTACGTTTTGAGCAAGACATTCAGCGGATACTGAATCAACTCAGGAGACGTTAATCGCTTGCACAATCTAAGAGAGAACAGGCAACCTTGTGGTAGCAGTGAAGTGATGTTCAATGCAACCTGAACAGACAATCCGTTTACAGGAAGCAATAAAGCAAATCAAGCCAGACTACCTTTCAGTCATGAACCAGCCGTAATTCACTTCCTGAAAAAAATTTACTTTCGGAGATTTGATGAAATATGTTCATTGTCAAGGTGTTTGAGACCACTTAGCCCCGTGTTTCTCGGACTGCAATGTGCAACGGATACCAATTGGTATACAAAGAAGACTCGCAATTGACTCTTGACATATACTGATGGAATCATTCCAATTTCCTAGCTGAGAAGGATTAGTGATTGAGATAGGTTAAGCTGATTTGCGAGGATTGGCCAAATTCATTGGAAATAATGACAATCGATAAACAATGGAACAAATAAACAAAAATGGGCGATGAAAAAAAATCAAAAGTGTGGGAGAATAGAATGCATTGACTTTTCTTAAGTAATTGCTGTAGTTTGATGAGAAAAGGGTTGATAAAGTGAAACCGAGAGTTTATTATTTTATATCAGTTTTTCGGATTTATTTTCGGAGCCTTATTAAACACCTTATTCTAATTGTGCCCTAAGTAACGATACAGTTATTAGGAAAATATAAAAGTATTCCGATGACCTACTGAATAAAACATATCCGGAAAACGTGGACCCAGTCTCATGCATTATCATGTACACTAAGGTTGTGCATTCCCGGTCAAGGATTGAAAGAGAGAATGACCGCATCTCGTCAATTCATCCTTCAAAGAACGAGCTACAATGACCGCTGATTGTCATATCAGAGTATGTGTTGGCAAGTTTATCAAAAATAGTCGTTTTGGAGATTTGCTGTAGGCGTCTTGGGCTGAACAATTCCATCCAGATGCCATATCGGAAAACTTAGCATCACATTTCATAATAATAGCTGAGGGTTATTTGAGATCCACAAGGAATATATCTTTGACCATTGCTTGACCTGGGGGCATAATCCTGGCGACCAGATACTTAACCTCAAGACCACAGCAGTAATTAGTTGATTGCCCAGGTGCGTTAGCTTTGTTGATGGTTAACCTGATATTTGAGTCATGACAAATCGAATCAAGAATCTGCATTGTGTATCCTTATAGGTAGATCGTTAGCAGCAAAATCTTCAAACATAAAACAAGGAGAAAAATAGTTCAGTAAAGAAAATATTGACTTTCGTTTTGTTAATTCCCAAATCAGTCATATCCGGAAGCTTTCGTTCGGGAACCGGAATTGCCTTGAAGTTATCCGCAGTGTCCTTCAAAATAATGGTAGCACGTGTAAAAATGTAGTTTTCAATGTTTTAACTTATTCTTTTATGTATCAGGCATAGAAATGTACACTCAATTTTGAGAATGTGCTCGGGCCATGCAAAGGGTACCCGATGAAATACAGGAATGAGAAAGACGTTAATCAGTTTAGATGTTGTGACTGACCGGATTACCGGGATATCCATTGCTATTTCACGTTTCGTTCAGCAATGCAATAGTTCAGAAATCATCTTTATCCGTGATCGCGTTTATGCGTGGGTAATTTGCGTTGTACTTTCAAATATCAACGCGGGAATCTCCCAACCTATAAGGTTTTCCCATATTGATATTTTCAATATGAAGACAAATATGGTACTAAATCGACGAACAGGCTGTCCTCAAATTTTGGAATAGCTATTGACTGATACGCCGAGAGATGCATGACAGAAACAGTTTATTTAACAAACCGTTGTTGTTGAAACATTACTAATTGCTGCATTCGCAGTCATATTTTACGTTGGAAGGACGTTCGGGAAAAAAACATTACACAATATTTCAAATCATTCAATAAGACTAATGCATTGGTCATAAGTTTGTAGTATTTGTTCCAGTGCAGCTGTGTTTCTGTGTTGAGGTGAATGTGAAAGTCAAGCACAACAAACTCGGTTCTTGGGTCGGATCATGTCAAAACAATGGCGGGGTTATTCGATAGTTGATCATAGTGTTCTATCCGTCCTCATATCTTCTAAACGTGCTCGAAAACAAGCTAGACTCTGGTGGATTAGAAATAACTTAGATCGTTGCTTTGCATGTGCCGCCTGAATAAGAAGACCAAAACATACACCGAGTTCAATTGACTTTGATACTGTGATGAATTTCGCTCACCGAATATATGAAATTTTCTTTTGCTTATCAGCTGCGAAGACTCTAAAAATATATAGATCATTATCACCGGGAATCTGTAGGTTTGACTGAGAGTTTCATTGTTTCGGTGTTCAATCATTGTGTTTTACTATTTACTTCAATGGATATATACTATGCAGACGACTTCAGCATGAACGGATCTCTTTCAACTCGTATGTCACTGGGTTTGACGAATATTTTTTATACTCAAGCTCTCTGAGAGTGCTTGGCTTCCTTCGTTCGGTTCCATTAAGTGTTCATCAATGAGTTTACTTCAATCAATTTACACACACTAAACAAGTTACTGGTAAACGTAAATAAGTGTTGTCGGTTTTCCGTTGTGCTTGATCTCGGACCTCAACTGAACCGTAGATTTTCTATCCAATGTTGCACAAATGAAGTATGCTAAAATTAAACCAATTTGTACACAACCGAACTAGACTGATTTAAGCTGTTAGAGGAGCACACGAAGTGATTGTCAGGGTCCTGACGGATATTTCTACTTTAAGCTGCGAGAATGGCAGTACGATTTTAATTTGTTCGGTTATTTTTGTTACGTGTTTTTATAAGTTACCCTGGGCTGCTGCTTTTGTTAAACATGGAGATGCGTCGACTGAGACCACTGTTACGTCTGAGAGTAGTGTGTGTCATCCAACCACGCATAATCTGAAAGACACTTTTATTCTATCACCGATTTTAATCATAACGGAGAGGATAGCGCGTACTTTGTTCCAGCAAGCGTTGTTGAAAAGGCTCGCCGTGCTAAAAGTGTTAATGATATCCTTTGATTTTCTAACATAAGAGATCCCTGAAAGCCCTGTGAATTGTAGGTCATATCTGCCAAATAGTCATCCAATCTGTTTAACGGAGTGCAATAAACTATCACATCGTCGAGTGTTCTGAGGTTGAAGCAATCAATGGAAATGTATTTTATAGTTAATTTTCCCACTTGTAATTTTCCACTGTTCTCATAATGTTTACTTTGGGGAACAACTTACGTCTTTGAATTTGGTGGAATGTAATCCCATTGTTTTTCCGACCTATTTCGAAATACTTATCTGTCATTCAACGAATGATCTCGTTCAAATAATAGTCAATTATTAGTTTATATTTCCCATGTGAGCAATTCAAAGTTTGCGTGTGATTTCTGTTTTCCTCGCTTTACAAGTGGTCGCATCGAAGATAAATCTCATTTGCAGGAGATTATTTTTGAATTATTTATTATTGCTCATAATGCATGACTTATTTCGGCAATTTCTCGTTGTACTTAGATAACCATAGACAAAGCACACAATGGAAGTTATTATAGTTCTCCGCCGCTTCAAGTAATTTTGATCACATATGATGTACATTTGGGCTCTGTAAACTTTAATAAACATCAATTTCTTTCTTTCAATCTGTTTCCCGATGGTTGAGTATCGAATTACAAATCAATGAACTCCTTAGGCAGAGTTCAGTTCACTTAGGACTTGACCGGAAGTTATCCCCACCATTTTACCCTAGTATGACATATGCTAGTTAAGTCGCCGTTCTTGTATGCTCTTTCCTAGTGCTAACTTGCAGAAAAATGACTGATGATTCTCTTGAACGTTTATTTGAGCTCAAGACGTCAGTGCCTTTTATTACTCAGTAGCGTCTAAAATTACATTCTCGAAATTTGGCATGTGCACTCAAAAGCACCAGGATGTGAGTGTCAGAGTTTCTGTAACTTTATCTATGCCGTAGCTGTCAGGTACATTCCATTTCTGGCATTCCCTGTAAGGACAGAAAAATGGCAACTGGTAGCCGATTTTTTGATTATACACCTAGGTGTGATGAACAGCAGACGAGGCGGACCGCATAGTCAAGAGGATCTGCTGCTCAGTGACTGAAATCGGCAACCTAAGCCCCGGGACTTAGAGTGGCGAACCACATAAGGCCCCGATAGGTAAGGCGTGGTATTGAACCGGAAGACAGCAGAGCTGCCTACCACCAAAGTCGAGTGGCGGTGGCGGAGGCTCGAACCTCGGACCATAGGGTCCAAAGCAGGCCAGTGGCAGCGACTAAACCACTGCGTCACCACTATCCGTAGCTGAGTAGTTCAAACTTGAATGTTTCAGCACATGAACTAGCGTAGATAACTAACGGGGTCTCAATAAGTGTTAAAAGAGGATGTTTTTTGCTACCTGTAAATGAAATTACAGGCAAATTAGCCCTACGCTGTATGATACGGTATTCAAGTACCCTATGGGTGCTATGTGCTCGGAAAGCTCCTGGTTTGTTCAGAAAATTAATACAGTGTATTTCAAATAGATGAGACATTGTAAAATTCGTTTTATTTGTAGATGACTTTATGCAGTGGCCGACTCTATGAGGACACACAAGCCATAGAAGGAGGTTACTCTAACATTTACTTCTTCGGTAGCTTGCAATTTA